GTGGCATCTGTGTATCAGCAGGGTATTTGGAGATATGAAGTCTATCACAATATTTGAAAAGCTCGATAAAGGAACAGATGGCTTGATAGGAGATGATCTGACTAATGAAATGAGCATTAACACTTCAACTGAGAAACAGTTTTAACTGGTTCTTAACAGTTTTAATGGTATTAATACAAGCCTCAGGGTGTGCAGCAGCTAGCTCCAATGGCTGCTGCTGAGTGGTCCCCAGGTCCATTTTCCCACTGCTCCTCTTTCTGGGTGGACAACCTTTCTTGCCAGGCCTGACTCCACTGTTGGAGCAAAAGGAGCAGGACAGGTGGCAAATGTAGTTTCAGAAGACTTGTATCTCCCAGAAATGAAAGCAAACTCACAGAAATTCCCTTTTCCATTTTCCTCATCTTTATGTACCTTTTCCTCCCAAAAAAACCCAATCCAGGATAAGCCAGTCTTCAATGGTAATTTCACCCTGAGAAGGACAGCAACTAGAGGGGCATGAGGTTGCTCTGCTTTGCAGGATGAGGGTCGTGGGAGAGGGGCTGCTCCTCCCATGGTGTCCCATGAAGAAATCATTGTAGGAAATATCTCCAAGGACCCACATAACGTCACCCTTATGGCTGATGCCTCCCTGCATCTCTCTTGCTTCCTGCACTGGGTGGGCTCTAACACATGTTTGCTGTCCCCAGGCTGTGCCCTTTCTTCAAGCTGTGATTTTTAAAATTTGTGATAGGTTTTTGGTGGGCCTGTCAGCATAATGCGTTTTCCAGCACTCAGAGGGACACCATCTGCTCAAAAAGGAGTTGTGAACAAAATGTCTCAGACACTCAAGAGTTTACCAAAAATGAAATTGCCTTAAAATCCCATATGGTGCATTGTTTCCCTTCCAGCACTGGCTGACAGCAGAGGTGAAGTGACTAAGGCAGTTCCTGATTAGTTGCTGCATTTTCCTTTCTGGCCAAAATCGCTGGAGCCGAGCACTGTCACTTTTCACCTATTTGACAGAAGGTTTTCTTCAGCCTCAGCTGCTGAAAGACAGAGGGTACTGGGATTCAAAGACCTCCCCTCTTTTAAAGTGAGCTTCCTTGACTCTTGCTATCACAAGAAGCCTTGCAGGGAGGGATGTGGTTAATGCTGGTACCTCAAGCATATTTTTTTCCAGGCACCCGATTTCAGAGCCTCTCTTGGAGGCAACAGCAGCTCCTTGCCCAGGGAAAGCCATGGAAGTCACTTGTGGCTCCTAAGTGTGGCAGTGCCTTGGGGCAGTGTCAGGTGCATGCAGAGGGGAAACCTGGCCAAGATCTCTGGATTTTGTGGGGTTCCAAAAAAGCAAATGCTGCAAGGAAACATTTATTAGTCCAGAATAACATAAGATTTTAAATACCAAATCAGGAGGAATGTTATTTCAGCTCTAAAAATAGCTCCCTTGGCCTTTAAAACACCGAGAAGCATACACAGTACATGCCTTTCTGTGGGAGCATCTGTCCTCTCCCTTGATGATGCAGACATTTTGGGAAGGGCTCAAGGGACCTGCTGGTGCAGTGCTTGCTCTGAGGATCAGCACTCTGAGGGGTTTTAAAATCCTGGGGATCAGAAACACGAAATCTCTTTAGAATGTTGCATGAGGACCGAAGCTGCAGGGTGAAGGAGTGTTGCTTGTTAGAAGGGCAGCCTACAAAATACTGATAAACTGCTGATATATAATTCAGCTCAGTTCTGGGGGCTGACATGGATTTAGATATCTGTCTGTTTTGTGTTGGTTCATAAGGGATGGCACCAGGACAAAATTTTGACTAAGTGCTACCTAATTTGGATTTTAGGAAAACAAACAAGACAGTCACTGAATAACATCCTGACAGAGAGAATCACCCTGACAGATGGGAGGAAGAGGAAAAAGAAGTGGTAGCAATCACGTTGACTTAATCTCATGAAGATCAGACAGCAAAATGACCCCTCCACCCCAGGAAACTGTCCCAAATAGTTATCACCGAGCTGTTTTGCTGGCAACGTTTCTTCTCAAAATTCCAACCGCAGGGATACTTCACAGAGATCACAAAGCCCACCACCCAGTAGGAAAGGGAAAAGGGGTGAAAGAGGCTCTTCCTGGGGTCTCTTGCTACTGAGTGCTGCTTCCTTGAGGCCTTTCACAACAGCCAGGCAGCTGGGCAGCACTTCCCGGGAGGGCTGCGGAGATGCGGGGTTTGAGTCCTCCCCGGAGCCTCCGGCGGCTCGGAGCAGAAGGCACACCCAGAGCCGCAGGCTGGGTAGGTGCTCCCGGCTCTGGGAAGGGCGGACAGGGAAGAAGTCAGAGCAGGGAGCCTTTGGCACAGCCGCACCGAGGACAGCCCGCAGGCAGCGGCGCCGCTGCGGCTGCACACGGGGCGCGGTGCCGGCCGTGCCCGAGGGATGCCCCGAAGCGCCGGGGCAGCTGTGGCCGCGTCCCAGCATCCCAACCCCGGCTCTCAGAGCGACGCCCGGGCCCCGCGGCGCTCCAGGGCCCCGCGGCGCTCCAGGGCCCCGCGGCGCTCCAGAGCCCCGCGGCGCTCCAGGGCCCCGCGGCGCTCCAGGGCCCCGCGGCGCTCCAGGGCCCCGCGGCGCTCCAGGGCCCCGCGGCGCTCCAGGGCCCCGCGGCGCTCCAGGGCCCCGCGGCGCTCCAGGGCCCCGGTGACCGCGGCGGCTGCGGACCCGCCCGTCCGGGGCGGGGCTCGGCGGGGCGGGGGCTCGGACCAGCCCGGCCGCGCTCGCCGCCGGAGCCGCCCGCAGGTGCGCAGGTAAGAGCCGCTCCCGGAGCGCCGGGCCGCCCCTCCCGCCCCGCCTTGTCGCGAATCGCCGCCGCGGTCCCGCTGCCCGTGGAACCCCCGAGCTGCGAGTGGGGCCGGGCTGGGGGCGGGGGGCTGCAGAAGCCGGGACCCCGCTGCCTGTCCTGGAGCGTCCTGTGTCACGGCAGGTAGGCACGGGCTCGGTGAGAGTATTAGAGCCGCTTCAGCCAGGCCCCGAGGGACCCAGCTGTGGAGCGGCTCTCCCGGTCCGTGGTTTCGGCATCCCTCCCATCTGTGAGTCCGTCCCTGCGGCGCTGGGGGTGCGGTGAGGACAGAACTCGGCAGGGTCCTCGGCCAGGTTGCTGCATAGGGTCTGTGAAGAAGCTTACTTGGGTTGGGGTTGTGGGATGGGACAGGTCCTGCCTTCCCCAGATCCTGTCAGGCTGTCCTGTCAGGACATGCAGGCTGTGTCCGGTTAAATTCCCTGGAGGGAATTTAAGGTGTGGAGAAAGGCCGTTCAGCTGTGCTGTGCTGCCTCAGGGAAGGAAGGGCGAGATCCTCTCTCCAAGTGATGGAAAGATGCTGGGTGCTGATGTCCATGGGGCGCTTGGGATGTCAGTCTCAGCTTTTCGTTAAAGCATCATAAGCATCATGCTTGTGCCAGACCTTTGATTCAGAGCCCTTAAGCTATAAAGGTTGCAGAAATTATGAGTTAACCTTTCTGCCATTGGTTTTTTTTTTTTGTTTGTTTGTTTTCCTTTTCAAGCAAAGATGCTTGTCAAAGTGACCCTAAGGGTTGTCTGATCAACATTCATGCAGTCCCCATGCCATGGGAATGTACACATGCATAGTTAATTAGGAATAGCAATTCAATATGGAGGAGGGCAGTGTGTGGAAGGTATATCCTGACACTGCCTGTTGTGTCTTGCTCAAACAGATGACAGTGCCTAAAAGAAGGGGACTTGATTCTTGCCCACTTTTTGCCTTTGGGTAATGGGTTGAAGACAGGGGACTCCTATTTGCTTGACAATGCTCCTGATTTCATTGCTGAACTGTTAAAAGTCAAATTGTTTTCTTGTGGTTTATCCATGCCCAGCTGTCAGCATTTTCTGAACCTGGGTGCTGAAAGTGCAGTTGTTTCATTTCCCCTTTTAAGATTCTTTGTGCTGCAGTGTTTGCTTTTCAGATGCAGAGCAGGGATGTGTGCTTGTAAGAACACCAACATTTTCAATTTTTTTTTCCCTTGGAAGAAATGTGATGTCTGTGGTTTTCTGTCTTCCCCCAGCCATTTCCGGGCAGCCTGAGATTGCAAGATTGCAGTTTGGCCCAACAGGAGAGACTTTAAGGTCCCAATCCTGCAGTCCAAGGTGAAGCAATGAGCTGTGATTGCAGGTTAAGTGGGAGCAAAGAAAGTCTGTGAGAAAAGAGAAAGATGATCCTAGGCAATTTATTGGGAAGGGTACACTGGGATGGGGGTGATGGCAGGAGGGGAGGCTGCTGCTGCAGTAGAAGGCTTGGACCAGGACTCTGAGTGCACAGTCCTCTGTGCCACTGATTTTCTGTGCGACGTCTCAGCGAGCAAATCACTGGCCTTGTTGTCTGAAATGGGATTAATTGTGGGATTTTGCTGTCTCAAGAAGACTTGCAAAAGTCTCTCCCCACCTTAGGTCCCTGCAGGTTGCAGAAGAGGTCACCTGAGGTTCAGGGATGAGGGCAGGATGAGAGTGAAAAGGAAGAGAAACACATTTGGAACAGGTGAAGAGAGAAGGGCAGAGCGAATGGGAGGACAGGAAAAGGCTGATGCAGCTTCAAAAACCATGAAAGAACTGTTAAAATGGCTGTAGGTTACCTCACATGGGATTTATTGCACACTTTTAATGCTGAGCTTGCTGCTGGATGGTCCTGCCTGCTGGGGAGTGGTCTGAGCTGCCTCTCCCATGGGTAGCAAGGGGAAGGGAGCAAAAGCCTGAAGGATGTGGGCTGATCTGCTGCAATGGTGGGGAGAGTGTCCAGCATCCTCCCTGCAATTTCCTGAGCTGGGGCAGATCCAGGTACTTAGGGAGAGAACTTCTGCTCTTGCTGTATTATTTCCTGCTTCCTGTGAGGAACCACTGGTATTAATAGTAGTGACTGCCTAAACCAGAAGAGCCAGTGGCCCTTCAGTTTTGGCACCACAGGGCTGCAAGAGTGGGTTTTGCCTGGCCAAGACACCGAGGATGGCCACAGCTTTGTCAGAGAGAGCCTCCACAGTGTGGCCTTGGCTCTTAGAGGTAGTTTAATGTGGTCTCCTACAGGAAAGTCTGTTTCTGAAAAGATTTCAGTAGACTTAAAAAGTAATACTCTGTCTGGATGCAGTGTAGAGGCTGCTCACACAGGCTTGGCCCCTGTTTAACAGCTGGGAGCTGTTCCTTTCTCCCCTCTGTCCCTTGGGTTTGCTTGAAGGGAAAGGCTGTATGGCACCTTCCTACTGTATCTCACCCAAACACCCTAGAAACTGTGAATTATGGTTGTAGCAGCTTGAGACACTGGTAAACAAATGAAATTAATTCCTACAAATAAGGAATGCTGGCAATGAAGTGGTGAACACCACAGAAATGCCTGTCCATGATTGCTTACCTCATACTTTGCCTCTCAGGGCAAATGATTTCAACAGGCAGGTCTCAACAGGATCAAAAGACAATCCCTGTGCCAGAGAGGGCCAAGAGCCAAGTCATGGGTACTGCACATCCATTCCTTGTAGCTCACCCTCTGGCCCATCACCTCGTTGCTGCTCCTCTGGAGCCTTGGTGATTAATACATGAACAAAAGGACCTCTTTCTGTGGAGGAGGAGTAAGTCCTCAGGCTGAAGAAGTTGGTGAGGGAAAACTGTCCTGACAAACAGTATGCTCTGCCACAGTCCCTAACAGCTCCCAGGCCTGGGATGTTTTCCCCAGGATGAGTTGCATTTACCAAAGGAAATACTGCTCTGGGGACAGTGTACACCTCTGCAAAAGTGTAAAGCTGCAAAGTGCAGTGAAGGAAGGAGCTTATACTTCCAAAAGGTGAATAGGAGAGGGGTTAAAGGCATAAGAGAGATGAAAGACAGGGTGAACAGGTGGGAGAAGCCCTGCTTACACCCCATGAGAAACTCTGTAGCTTGAGTGTGTTTGGCGGGGAAAAAACAGTGGTAGGGTAGAAAAGGCAGGGAAACCTGGAACTTTTCTTGCCTTGCAGGGCGTATATTCTCTCATCCATAAACTACAGCAGAAGGAGACAATATGATCAGGAATAACGTTCTGCCAAATCTGTTCCCCTGGGCTTGTCTGTTTTTCCTTACCTTCAAAGCTATTTGTAAGTCAACACTTGAAGTTTCACCTCCCTGTTAAGTGTTCTTTGCCACTCCCCACACTTACATTGTTTTCCTGATAATGGGACAAACCTTTCAGGCAGACTTCCTTCCCCCTTCTGATGTAATGTGGGTCTTGGCTTTGCTTGCTCGTGCACGTTGGAAATGATTGAAGGCATTTGTGATTTTTGGAACTGAGGAGCAAATAAAGCACCTTGATCAGTTTATTAAAACCCTGTCAAGACCTCTGTACATTATGGGAGGAGAAACACTCAATCGGCTTGTTGCTGCTTCATCATTGTGGTCATTAGAGTGGGGTGGTTGAGGTGGAGGACAATCACTGGACAGCCTGTCTGCTCAGTGATTCTGACTTCCTGGGCTCTGCCATAATATCAGCCTGCATTTCTGTATTGCTTGCAGAGCAAGGAGATGGTTTCAGTGACTCTCAGTGACTCTTTCCTCACAGCACAGCTGAAGCAGGGAGAGCTTTTTTTTTTTTTTTTTTTTTTTTTTTTTTTTTTTTTTTTTGGAGGCGATAGCCCTCCCCATTTTCCAGCAACTCTTTAGTTTGGGGGTTGGCTGGGACTTTGAGGTAAGTGCTCTTCTCACAAGTATCCCAAAACAAAAGATTCTCAGGGGGAAGATATAACCCTGTGGTGGTGGTGTGAGATTGTGGGTTTGGTTTGTTGAGACTCTGCTAGAGATTTCCCTTGTGTCTCAGAGGTCTGGTGAAAGTGGCTCCAGTCCTGAGTATCTCTTGTGTTAAGGAAACTTTCCTGTCTGGCCACCCAGAAGCCACTCTGTCAGTCACACTCCCACCACCCCAGGCTGTCACTGCTGGGACAGAAGCCCTTTCACAGTGGGTGGTTCCATTAACCTGATGTGTGCTTTGCTTGACTCCCCACACACCCCACATTTACCCAGTCAGACAGGTTTTCCTCACTGGCTGGATTTCAGGATTGCCATAGCAGAGTCCCAGAAGCCTGGACCCTTTAAGTAATTTAATCATGGTGCAATAACACCATAACAGCTTGAATTGATGCCTTCAGGGGGACTCCCTGCACTAAGGAATCCCTGGCCTTTTATATCCTCACAGTCCGTGTGCCCGTTTCAGACAGGATATGTAGTCTGGGTCCTTCTTGCTGTTTATTTGGGTTCTACAGAGTCTCTGTGCCAGGTGGCATGGTGGCAAGGTCTCCATACCCTTTTCTGGACAAAGGGTAGATTCTGGGTCATGGCCCCTTGCATGTGGCTCCAGCCACCACCACAACCTGCAGCTCCCACTGCGGCTGCTCACCACGCTACTACTTGTATTCCTCAACATCTGCACTTGGAGAGAGTAACGCATCTGCCCTGGGAGTCCAGCACACACTGGGAGGACTCGCTGGGAGCTGGTTGCCACCTGGCTTGTGCAGCCCCTGAGGCCAGGAGGAGCTGGGATGGCTGTGTCCTGTAGTGAGTGTTCCCTAGCAGAATGGGATCCCTGGGGCAAAGAAACACAAAGCACCAGCAAAATGCAGGTCTCCTCAGCTCACCCTGGCTGCTCCTGCCTGGTTGCACTGCCTGCTGCTCGAGCTCCATCTGTCTGAATTGGATGTTGCCTTCTGCCTTAGCTAGCTCCTCTTTCTGCCTCCTTTACCTATTTGCAGGCTGAGGGCCACGACTGCCCAAGCCCTGCTCATGATGAGTGGGACCTCACGGAAGTCAGAGTGATCTGGCATAGGTCCATGGGTCAAAGCCTGCAGAACAGCTCTGTAGTCCTGTGATGGCAAATCAGATTAATTTTTCTTTTCTAACACCCAGGAGCGTGATCTGGAAGTGGGGCGTGCCTGGTTCGTGCAGTGGCAAATGCGAGGCAGGCAGACACAGCCCACAGGAGTTGAACCCCGGCGTCTCTGGCTGTAAAACAGCAGCTCAGCACTGGTTGCTAAATGGCCTGTAAGTACTTACACCCATGTGGGACTGAGGTGAAGGCTGTGGGGCAGCAAGAAGCAGAAAACCAAGGGTGCATTTTGCAGTACGATGGGATGCACTGGCCTCAGGACCCAGCAGTGCTGCAGGATTATCTTTGGGTCAGACACTGTGGATACCAGTATATCCTTTACTGCCCCTGTTTTTGGTGATTAGAAGGTTTCATTCCTTTGTTGCACTTGGCCCATCTCTGATAGGTTTATGTTGGCCAAAGCATTTCCTTAGCACACTGAATGCAGTCACAGTGTATGAAATGAGACAAGAAACATGTACTGGTGTTGCCATGGGTGAAAACATTGCCTCTCAGCATTGTTGCAGGATTACTGAAGCATCTCTCCTGCTTCCCCCACGCACAACCCAGAGATGTCTTTACCTTTTCCCATTCATCTTGTGTAAATGAAATGAAAATGGCATTTCTGCACATCTGTGAGATGGTAGGTGGGTACCTGGAGCAAGCAGAGCATCCTATCCTGCTGACAGAGAGGATCACTTCTTTTCTTGTTACCCCACCATTTTGTTACATATTTACAAGCCTCTGTCACATCTTACCTCTCTCATTGTGCACTCACACTGGAAACCTTGAGATAAACCTGAAAATGCCCTGCTTTGTTAAGTTGGCATTTGTGACTTGTGGGTGGCAGGTTATGTAATGTGGTGGTTTGTATCCACTCAGTTACAGTGATTAGCTATCAAGTGACTGGGGTTATTTTTGCTTTTAAATGCAACAGAGATCTATAGCGGGCTCCCCCAAAAGACAGAATGTGTTTGTTCCCCTTTGATTGTTGCTGACTGGCAGCAATTCTTTGACTTGCTCTATGTTTTGAACAGTGCCCTCCTTCTCGCAGTGCTCCTGGCTTTGTACCTATTCTCTGAAATAACCCCATGACCTAGTGCTGTGAAATGCAGGAGTGTTGCTCTGGCTTATTATGCATTTCAAATGCATCTGCATGCTTTAGTCTTAAAAAAGATGTACGACCCTGTTAATGTGGTAATTTTGTCCTTCCTTACATTCATGTTCTCTGGTGAAAGCAACTTCAGGAGGAGCCTGTAACTTTGCTTGGCAGATGAAATGAAGATGTCCATATTAAATGAACCCTGAGCAAGCAGCAGTATATGTTTGGTGAGCTGCCTGCTGTAACTGAAGTGTGTACATTAGAGGAACGGAAGCTTAATTGGTTGAGGGTGTATAGCAGGTCATTGATAAAAAAAGCAGAGCAAGCAGCTGACAGTCTAAGCAGATTTAGAGATAAAAATGGAACTAGAGATGAGTAAGCTTGCATTGAGAGAAATTCTCAAGACACACACTGGGGCAGTGCTAATGTGAAACTCTTTTCAGGTCTACAGCCTGACTCATGTTAGATGGCAGCAGGAGCACACCTCAACAGAGATTTTGCAGTGCTGGTGTGAGGGTGTGTCTAGAGGGGCTGGAAAACCACATGTGAGCTTTGGAGAAGGTGGGCTGGGTCAGCTGTGATACCGAAAATGTTTTTGTTGGTGTTGTGAATGCATTGCACCATGAGGGCTTTCTCAGGCTGAAGTCCTGCCTATGCAAACCTCAGTAATGGAAGACAAATGGCTATGGGAAATTACCAACTGCCTCTTGGATGCAGTGTGTTTGTTTGGGGGAACATGGGCTGGCAGAGATTGCTGTTGTTGCCAGCTGGAGTTGACTGCTCAGATTTGGCATCACTGGACATGGCAGCAATGCAGAACAGAGCTGTGGAGAGGAAGTTTGGCTTTATGTCATCCCTGTGGAGCAATTAACTGTCAATGAGTTTGTTTCTACATTTCCCATAAAGAATTTTGCTAATTTTTCCTATCACTCTTGGCATTTTACTTTGGCTAAACTGGTGTGGTGCTGCAGGAGAGGCTGATGTTTGGGTTCCTTGTTCTCTTGTTCCTGTCTGCTTTTAGAGCTGCTGGTCTTAGTGTGCACGAAGGTCTCCCAGCTTGAAGATACAAATACTGGGGACATCCCTGAAGAGGACAAGGCTAACCCAAAGGCAGCTGCTGAGAATTATGTCTGCTGAACACTAGTGCAAAGCCAGGCAGTTTTGGCACATGTTCAGCATTTCTACTTTGGAAGAAGTTGCAATTATATGTAATTTTGTTCCTGGCACGTGAATAACACAGCAGGGAATAAATGAGGAATGTGCAGGAGCTGAGGCATGGTTTTAAACCATCCTCTGCCCACATGGGGAGGCTGAAACATATCCAAGCCTGTGTGGGCTGTGCCAATGGCCAGCATTAAAAGGTGTTGTTCTTTGGGGACATGGGGGAAAGGAACCCTTCTTTCCTTTTGGACCCTTTCTTTTCTTTGGTATTTAATTTGTCAGATGCAGGTGGCTTCCTTCTTTTTAACTGGCTGAAATTAGGGTTTCTGAACTATGGAGCTGGCTACCCATCAGGATACTGTGCTCTGCGCTGATCATTCATTTAATATGCAATGATTTCAGATGTCATTTTCTGTTAGTGGCTGACGGAAGGGGACTCAGTGTGGCACAGTGAATATTAAACAGAAGGCTGTTTTCCAAGGAGGTGGGCCTGTAGCTGTGTTGCTTTGACTCTGGGGAGGTTGGCCATTAGTCTTGGCCTTGCTCCATTTTAGAGCTCAGCACAAAACAGAGGTTATCTAGACAACATTTTCACATTTCCCCACTTCTGGTGTGGAATCCATGTCCCTGTGTGCTGCCTCGCTGCTCTGCCTGGGGGAAGAGCCCTTGACACCTCCCTCTCTGCACAACAGGCAATGCTGAAATAGCTTGTGAAGACTGCTGTTTCCATGCTGGGAGGTGGAGGAGTTGCAGCAACCCATTAGTGAGGACAGGTTGGCTACTGTTTGCTTTTCTTGTGTAAATTATCTTCCCTGCCTTTCCAAGGGTGAAGGGTAAATAATAAGATGTGCTATCCCCTGACATGAAAGAACTGTGTTACCTTGGCTCAGTTCAGCCACCACCAGAGACAAGAGGAGAGTTGAGCACAGCAGTAATTACCTTGCAGGGCAGACAGGGGCTGGAATTAGGAGGTGGTGCTATCTGCCTGGTCCCTTCAGCCAAGGCAGGAGGGGGAATTTGGTCCCAGCTGTGTCTCCCTTGTGTGGGGCGCTGGCACTTGGGCACTGTCCTGCCAGAGGCTGTCTGGGATGTGGTCCTGTGGCAGCTGCCACCTGGAAGTGGTCCTTGAGATTGCTGTCACGGGTCTCCCAGTACCACAGCACCGTCCAATACCAGCTAAGGAATGCTGCTGCAGTGCTGCAGAGCAGCAGGAGGAAAAGGCAAGGGCAGCACTTCATGGAGCAGCTGTGAGCACGACAGTGGGAGCTGTGCGGATTACAGAAATGTGAGATGCTGTGTTTCCTGTGCTGAAGGAGAGGAAGAGAAGTGATGGGAAATCTAGTCTCCCTTGCTGATAATTTCTTCTGATCTATTCACTGTGCTGAAGATCTATCTGCACACTGGAGCTGCCTGCCTTTTAAATCAGCATACTTAATGCTTGCATCATTTCATGCTCCTTGTCTGCAGTTCTCTCTGCTCCCAGGTCAGAGAAGAGACCTTATCTGACTCCTTTTCTGTCTTCTAAGGTTTGGAATTCAGCCTTACTCCGGGTTATCTGTATGAACAGCACCAAATCATGGTCTCGTGGCTCTGTGCAAGTGTGGTGTGACTCTGGGCACTGCCAGGCTGTTGTTTTGTACCCTTGCTAGGCCATTTGCAGGGAAAACTGACATGTAGAGGTGACATAGCTGATGTGTAGAGGTGAGAGTGCCATGCCTTCTGCGGAGTGTGGGGAGCCTCACTCAAGCTCTTCAGCCTCTGTCCCAGTGAGGCAGGGCAGGAATTGGTGTCTGGGGCCCCAAGCAGTCCAGCCAGTGTGTCCTTTGCAGCTTGGGGTGCCTTGGGGGAGCAGTGAGCTAGGGCCTGCTATGACATGGTGAGGGTGCTGACTCTTCTGGGTCTTTACAGCAGGGAGCAGACCATGGCTCTGTGCTGCAGATGTGGGAAGGCCAGGAGAGTTGAGAGGAGGAGGATGACAATGCAGGTACTTTCTTCTCTGAGCAGAGGGATGGGTCATGGCTTTAAGGACCTGGACGAGGTAATTGAGCTGCAAATGCAAGCAGGCTTGAGTGAGAGGCTGTCATCTCTAGGTTGTCCTGGCACCAGGGTGCCTCACTGTGCCATGTGGGCGATGGTGGCCCCAAGGAATGCCTGCCTTGCAGCAGGGAGTGGGGCAGAGCACAGGGGCACAAGTGCTGCTGCCCTGGTGAAAGTAAAGCACGTGCTGGAGCTGTGAGCCTGGTGTTCTTCCCCTGTCTTTGGGTCTTTTGGCCGTGCTGGTGCCTGGAGGAACATTTATAGGAGGAGGACAGAGCATGAGAAAATACTTGATCCATTATCAAAGGACTCTTACGGAGACATAGGCTTCTCCGTGTCCGCAGCACAGCAGCGTTTCTGAATTGCACACATTACAGGAACAGCCCCGGCATCCCAGATGCTCATCCAGCATGATCTTGCCTGGAGGACAAATCCTTCCTCGGGAGGCGCTGTCCGCAGCATCCTTACGCCACATGCCGGATTTCGCAGTGCCTGCATGTCAGGAGCTGATGCTGTTGATGCCCATCCCGAGCCCCGACAGCGCTGGGAGCCGGCCCTGGAGCTTGGCTCTGCTCTGGGTGTGGCCAGACGCTATTTTTGGCTGCTGGCTGGGGATGGGAGCTAGTCGTGCCCTCTGTGGAGATGATGCCAGCGCGGGCATCCCTTTCTCTCCATGCTGCAGGCTTTGTGAGCGTGTGTGGAATTGGTAATGATCCTGGGAAGGAGGCTGCCTTGCCTTGTCCATGTGGGAATAGCAGGGAATCAGAGCTGCAGATCTTGTGGTCACCTTGGTCCAAATCCTTGAGAGAAGTGCTTTGAAAACCACTCAAATTCTGTAGGTGTGGTTGAAAAGTCTCCAGCTGCAGGGCTCTGGTGCCTTGGTTATTACAAAGTTATGGAGGATGCTGCCTGTGTGTAGCAGCTTAACCCCTTGTGGCCCTGAGGAGCTTGGTACCTCAGCACCTGCTGTGGGATGCCCTTCCTGCTCTCAGAAGAGGGGGACTAAGGAGGGTGGGTGCCTCAGCCCTCTGTTTTTACTTTGTTCTTTGTTTCTAGCAGGTATGGATGGGAAGAAATGCAGCGTGTGGATGTTTTTACCTCTTGTCTTTACCCTGTTTACATCAGCTGGATTATGGATAGTGTAAGTTATCTCCTGCTGGCTATTTGGGAGGCTGCTTCTCATTAAGGAGAGCCTTTGGGGATGCTCTGCCCTTGAGCTACTGTGGGGCTGGGAAGGCACATGATAGGGTCAGAAGCTAGTCTGTGCCACTTCATGGCTTGAAGTATCACATTTTTATCCCTGAGTTTCTGTGCTCCCCAGGCCAAGTTGCTGACCTTGCTTTCTTCCTGGTATGTGCTACTGGGAGCTGCCTGAAAACAGCCAAAAATTTTAAAATTTCCTTTAATGACATTTTCTTTGAATGACTCAGGAGAACTCTTGGAGAAACACTTAGGCCCTGCTTTAGGGTAGAAATTCAAAATCTGCAGCCTCCAGCACCACACTGAAAAGCTGCCAGTGTCTTAATACTGATGCCTCACTTTCTCTCTAATGCTTCTTACCAAAATGCACATAAGACCTGCACTTCCCTGAGCGGGCTCTCTCCAAGCATGCAGGCAGATGACTGCAGCATGAATTTGGGATTGAAAAATGTGTGATCAGCAGCTATGCTGAGGCTGAGAAGCAGTTATGTTATAGGATGTGGCTTTGGCCATGGTCTATGGATGCTGTTTTTCAGCAGCAGGGGCAGCTTAAGCTTTTTGTCTGACCTCTACTGCTTGCTGTTTTTCTTGTCCCATCCCCTCTCTAGTAAAACAGCCTTTGTGGATGGAGTACCATAGTAAACCTGATTAATCAAAATGACTCAAACTAAAAATGAAAACATTCCCCTGGCTGGTTGTTTTTAAAACAGCACAGTTCAGTGACCCTGTTTGTCTACTCAACTGTGCAAACCAGATGGCGCATGGACTAAGAAATAATAAAGCTGCCTGCTTGGGCAGCGAGAAACACAGGATCCTCCAGCAGACTCTGCCAGTGGGCTTGAAACACCTAATGTGTTGTTTGAGTGATATTTAGAGTGGAAGCTAGGATGGGGTTATGCACTATTTCCTTTTTTCTTTTCCCTTTTTCTTGACAGGTACTTTATAGCAGTGGAAGATAACAAAATTCTCCCACTAAGTGTACCAGATAGGTAAGAGCTGTTTGTGGGGTTTTTATTCAGTCACTTGTTTCTTTGAAATAATGAAACAATTACAGCAAAATGGGAAAGAAAACTTTGAATCTTTATTCCTGTGCCTGTGTCTCTTAGGAAACCTAGTCCGAAAAGACCGCCTTATATAAGGTAAATCTTCCAAGTACTTCTCTGGTTAATGCTTGCTATTTATGTGTCTTTGTCATCCTAGTGTTACAATGATACACTTTATATTTTCAAGTATTGCAGGTGATGCACCTCCTGCAAGTTGTGTGTTTAGCCAAGTCATGAACATGGCAGCATTTCTAGGTAGGAACCACAACTGGAGTTTGTTTCTGTTTGTTTTAAGAGTCACTTAAGTAATGAAACATAATTAATATCCTGTACATATTCTTCTTGAATGTGATGATGTGAAACCTTTTGAAGTGTATGTTTCATTGCTGCTTCTTCCCATTGCAAAGAAAGAAATGTAACAGGGGAAATGCAACCTCCAGACTGCAAATGTGTCGTGGGGGGCGTGATGGTAGGTGACTGTCTCGGCCTTAGTGGTCATGAAATGGTTGAGTTTAGAACGTCTGCTGTAATGAGAGAAAAGGAATTTAGGGAATCAAAGCAGAATTGATCTCCTAAATGTCAAGAAAGCAAACTTTAGGCTCTTCAGGGAGGTACTTAGCAGAATATCTCAGGAATCTGCTTTTGAGGGCTTAGGTGTCCATGGGTGCTGGTCAGACTATAACAACCACCTTTTAGAGGCACAGGAGCAGGCAACCCAGCTGTGTGGGATTGTGCTCAAAGAGTGGGCCAGAAGACCAGCTTGGCTTAAGAGGAGAAAGCCGTTATATGGTCTCTGGAAGAGAAGTTAGGCTTTGCAGGAAGATTGCAGAGCTGTGGTTTGTATATGCAGGGAAAAGACAGGAAAGGCCAAAGCTCAATTTGATTTAAAACTGGTCAGAGTTGTTTCAGACAACAAGAAGAGTATTTTTAAGTATGTTAGTGGCAAAAGGAGGCCTAAAGAAAATGTTATACAGATACTTGTTAGAGGCTGTAATCTGACTAATAGGGATGAAGAAAAAGCAGAAGCATTCAATGCTCTCTGTGCCTCAGTCTTTAATAAAATGCTGATAGACCATGGGCTGTCCAGTCCTCTGTGTTGAAGGACTGCAAGTGTGAGAGTGGTGGCTGTTCATTTGTGAGCACTGGAATTGTCAGGGACCAGATGTATCAGCTGAATGCTCACAGGTCCCTTGGTCCTGGATGGGATTCATCCCAGAATACTGAAGGAGGTAGTGGATGTTAGGGCAGGACCCCTCTCTATCATCTACCAAATGTTTTGGGATTTTGGCAGGGTGCCTTGCTGACTGGAAGCCAGCCAGTGTTATTCCAACCTACAAGAAGGGCATGAAGAAATACCCAGAGACCTACAAACCTGTTGGTCTAACCTCAGTTCCTGGAAAAATTATGGACAAGGTGATATGGATGCATTGAAAGAATGATGCAGTCACCAGGCACAGTGAGCATGGACTCACAAAGGGAAAGTCCTGTTTAACAAATTCAATATCCTTCCATTATAAGGCCACATATGTGGTAGATGAAGGGAAGATGTTGGATGTAGCTTTTATGGATTTTAATAAGGCTTTTGACACTCTCCCTCACAGCAGCCTTCTGGAGAAGTTCTCCACCTGTGAGATCATCAGGTTCACAGTGCACTGGGTAAAGAACTGGCTGAAGGGCAGGACTCACAGGGCTGCAGAGAAGCTACATCCGGCTGCCATCCAGCCACCAGTGCTGTCCCTCTGGGCTCAGTTCTAGGGCCAGTTCTGTTCAATATTTTTATCAACGATCTGAATGAATGACAATTAGGCACCATTAGCAAGTTTGCTGGTGATCCCAAACTGAAAGGTGCTGTTGACTCTCCTGAGAAACCAGGTGCCTTCCAGAGGGATCTAGATAGCTGGAACATTGGGCAGTGATTAATGGGATGAAATTAAACAAGTCTAAATGCTGTATCTTGCACCTGGGACAGAGTAACACTGGATTAAGTATAAATGGGAAGAGGATGTGGAATGGAAGGTGTGGATCTCTTCCTCTTCAGATCCAGTGACAGGACGTGGGAATGATTCAAAACTGCTCCAGGAGGAGTTTAGACTGAACTTTACAAAACATTTCTTTACTGAGAGAGCTGTCAAACACCAGAATAGGATTCCTGTTGACATGGTTGATGCCCCAAGCCTGTGCTGTTCAAGAAGCATTTGGATAATGCCCTTAATAGCATGCTTTAACTTTTGGTCAGGTCTGAATTGGTCAGGTAGCTGAATTTGATGATTGTTGTAGGCCCCTTCCAACAGAAATAGTCTGTTCTGATCTCTGCTTTGTGGATAAAGTCAATCTTTCCTCTGCTGTATTTGTGTACTTCTGAGAGCTGCTTTTAGCTTGTATCTCTGACCACCTTAGTTATGTCAAAGCTAAAGGAGAGGAAAACTACAGAAACATGCTAGAAATGTGGGAATTACTGAAATTGAAAATGCCATTGTTTTGCATGGAATGCTTTTAATACCCTTTTGTCATTCCCATCCGGTTTTAGAAAAAGATCACATAATTTCAGGAGTCTGTATTGTAGAAATAGAAATTAAAAAGCTCCTGTACATGAGTACATGACAGATGACTGTCCCAAACAATTGCCTGGGGATAAAAATTAGAAAACCTCTTTTTTAGGGGGAACAAAGTTCTCATTTTAAAGGATTTGGAGTAGATTGGTTCACTAGAGTAATTGTGAGAGAGTAAATTCAACTATCTTTTGCATTCTGGGTTAAAGTGGGTGTTTTTCACTTGCAGTGCCCTTACTTTCCTAAACCATATTTTCAGTATTATTCACAGGGTTTTGTGGAAAATGCAGATCTAATTTGCTAAAGGCATCTATTTACAACAGTATGAGCTGTGTGCTATCAATTTGAGCACGAGCAGAAGAAGGTGTTTGACAGCAAGCAAATTTCTCCTGTTCAACTAAATTGATTTTTAGTGGTCTGGCTTGAATCACATCTGAAGGCCAACTGTTTGCCTGGTTTTCTGTGTTGTTCCATGTACCATTCAATAGGGAGGGCAAGAATATACAATTTGAGTATCTTCTGTGGTTATGCCATGTCATACAATGTATGCTATATCTTATCTGTCATGTATTGTATACCACAGTGCTTGAGGGAATTGTTAGCTTGGAAGGAATGTTATTCCATTTTTCATGGAAAATTAGTGCAACATTTTGGCTTATATTTGTGGCAACAGAACTTGTTCAGAGGAGGAGAAAAGGCAGTGGATGTTATGGCAAACTCTGCAGAAATATGTATATGCCATTCACATGCTTTTAAATACAAGTAGGGTTTGACATACGTCCTCCACCAGAGCTCAGGACTAGTGAGTGGAGTGAAGCAATGCAAGTCCAGGTGCCACTAAGCGAATGCATGGTGTGCATGTGTTGGACTATGTGGGAGCTTCACAGGCAAGCAGGAAGGTGTCCTTTCCCCCAGAAAATTTGCAGACAAAGCATACTGAGAAAAGGAAGCCTGGAGCTTGCTGTAGCTGAATTACAAGAGAAATGCTTCCTGTGCTTAATCTTGACCCTGATTAAGTGGGAGGGGGCCATGCAGAAGCACAAAGCTTGCCAGCCTGCAGGTAGAAAGAGGAGGAGGGGGCTGTGAGGCCCCAGGCAGGTGTTTACTGCAGCAGGTTCAACCTACTGATGCCCCTTGCCTTGTGTTTCCTCCCCAGCGCTTGTTGTGGCTGTCCTGCGCTTCATTCAGCTGAAGCCAAAGGTGCTGACGCCTTGGCTGAACATCAGCGGCTTGGTGGCTCTGTGCTTGGCCTCTTTTGGGATGACCTTACTCGGCAACTTTCAGGTACTGCTCTGCAGGCTTGAACTGCTCTGTCTGTGATGTGACTGCCCTGCTTTTCCAGCAGATCTGCTCGGGTCTTTGAGTGAGCTGTGATGTGAGCCTGGGAAAAGCATGTGCCCCTGCCCTCCCTTCACCTGCTCTACACTCTATCTGCCACTTGTGAGCTGAGATGAAGGACCACAATCACGTTTCACATGTCTCCAGCAGGGTTTGCACCTGCATGCTTAGACCTGACTGCTGAGAGCCTCAGCAGGAGTCTCCTGAATCTCTTGAGCCCTGGGAGTCAGCACAGATGGCCCTGGGTAAAAGGGCTGAGCGGGAAGTTTGCGGACACATCTGTGCAAACAGATGCACAAATGCCCATACAAATCTAGCAGACAGCTCAGTGTCCTTCTTTTAAAACATATGCTGCTTTAAATCCATCTCCTACTGATCCTCAGACCTGCCAGGAGAGGGACATAGCAGAGGAGTGCCAGGACTTCTCTGGATGTGATGGGTGTCTGGGTGAGGGCCCTCCCATTCTCTCTCTGTCCTGCAACGTTATAGCAACAAACATCTGCCACATCTGTAGGGATGGGTGTCCCCTGTCATCACCATTGTGTCTGTCAGGGCTGCAGTGAAAATCAAGGTGTTAGAGTCAGTGGGGCTTGGGTTTGACTCTGAGGCTTTGTCTCTCTCTGGGGTGCACATAATGACCCCCAATAATGCCAGGAACTGAGAAAGGTCAGTGCAGGCTGGCTGCTTCCCTGGCTTTGCATGACAGGGATTCAGTACAGAAATGGTACTTGTTTTTTGAAGGGTGAGGACGATCTCTTTGGATTGTACAGTTATTGAAGGAACTTGGTGTCCTTTACAGTTACTTTCTTTTTTCCTTTTTGAATGAGGTGTGTGATAATTTGACTTTCGTGGACTTGGTCTTCCTAATTCCACAGCACAAGCCCAAAACCCAGGGTCTTGTTTTTTCAGAGCTTTTTTTTCAGAGCTTCCCAGCTAGGAATCATGAAGCCTTTGTAACAGCTTTGTCTACCTCTGAGAAGAGTATTTCTAGTACAGGACAGGCACTAGGAAATGGTTTCGACCTTGCCTTCCTTTTTTCAGTCTTCAGAGCAAATGATTGTAATATAACGGTAGATGCTTTGAATCTTGCCTGGCTATAAATTCTGAGTATTCTCTGATATCTGATTCTAACTATCCATTCCATGTTAGGTACCTGTATCCTTTCTTAGATCTTTTGCCAAACATGAAAACATGAGACCTTAATGAGACCTTAATCTATGCCTCTCCCTGCCTGATGGCTGAGCTGAATGTGGCATTAAATCATATTTCTGGAAAATTATACATTGGGTGTTTTAGAGGGACATTATAGCTGTGAGTCCCTTGCAGTGCTGACTATCTTTAGAAAGGCAGCTCAATCCCATTTTTGCCTGAATGATTATTTGGACCTACTCTTGAAAGAAATTCAGTGTAGAGAGAAGGGGAGAGATCAGTGGAGGCACAGCACCTAGACTGTTGTCCTGTAGATTGTGTTTTGTTTGATGGGTATTTGTTAAATCATTAAACAGGAATTAAGACTGCAGGAAGAAGTTACACACTGGTGGTTTCTTTTCTAGAAAAAGCCTCAGAGGCAGAGGGAAAATGGAAATGGTTTGGCTTAAGTCCATGCTGGACGTTTTGAATGGATTTGCAGCCTCAAGGGATGTTTTTGCAGATTCTTGCTAGTTGAACCTGGCTGTCATTTTGCCTTGCAGTGTTGCACAGTCAGAGCCCTGTGGGACAGGGCAGCCCAAGGAACAGGAAAGCACTGGCACTCCAGACAGGTTGGGTTCATGTTGCCTCTGACCCCAGTGGTCGAGGATGGACAGAAGAAGAAATTTGTGGGAGGAACTTGCCAAACCAGGAGCATGCATTTTTGTTTTGGCTTGTGCTAGCTCAGGAGAGTGCCAGGGTTCTGCTCCCTGCAGCTGGCACTGAAGGTACACAATTTGCATCCATTGCAGCTTTACAAGACCCACAGTGGATTGTCCTTGCCTGCCCTGGCCATCCCTTCAAGCCAAGGAAGAATTTATTTCTGAGCTCTGCATTTGTGAGTCTTGTCAGCGAGCTGTGGAGACAGTCCCCAAGCAACTGCATTTTTACAGTGATCTTGGGCTTTGGGCAAAAGATCTGCTTGACTGTGACAGCTGTCAACTCACCTTGGTTATGTTACACCTTGCACCTCTGCCAGAAGAAATGATACAGCATCTCTGTCTCACACCCCAGTGATACTCAGCAGCAATCCAGTTAGCTCTCAGATAATTCCTCTTGTGTCCAGGCAATCACTGGTTTGTTTGTTCCTAGCTTTCCAATGATGAGGAAATCCACAACGTGGGCACGTCGCTGACCTTTGGCTTTGGGACACTGGCGTGCTGGATCCAAGCTGCCCTTACCCTCAAGATCAACCTGAAGAATGAGGGGCGGAAAGCTGGGATTCCACGAGTGGCTCTCTCAGCCAGCATCACCCTCTGTGTGGTGCTCTGTATCCTTTTGTTTTGCTCCCCAGGAAGCTAGGTACTGTGTATGTTCTGCAGCAGCACTTCTCACACATGTCCTAGGATCTCAAGGCATTTTGGAATGCTAATCAGTGTGTCTTCATGGCACAATCCTATTTCAGTGCTACTCTGTGTAGAGTGATGCTTCCAGATTTCACAGAAAAGGACAGTTTTTGAGGTGATCTAAATTGAAGGAAATATTTCAGAGTGTGAATTGAAAGGTGTTCCCATTGCCTGCAGTGGGTGCAGTGATCTGATCCAGTTCCCACTGGGAAGCTCCTAGCAGGTAAGGGCCCACAGCCAGATCCCCACTTGCTGGCTCTGTCCCTGGCTAGCTGGGTGCTCAAGCAAATAACTGATTCCTCTGCACCTGAGTCTTCCCCTCTGTAAATGTTTATCACTCTGATCTGGGATCAGGAACCCCCAGTCTGTAGAGGCTGTTGTGCTACATGGGCATTATTGGACACCTGACATCCCTTTCATCTCTAGCATCACATTCACAGTCTCCTCATGATGGCTGGATGGGTCTGACTTTGTTCAGATTTTCTTCCCTGTTGGCTTTCAAACTGGTTGGTGTCTCTGCTCCCAGTTGTTCTCCTTAACTTTCCTCTTCCAGATTTCATCCTTATGGCCCAGGGCATTCACATGCATGCTTCCAGGATCCAGTGGGGCCTAGTGATGTGCTTCCTGTGCTACTTTGGCACCTTTGCAGTGGAGTTCAGGCATTACAGATTTGAGATAATTTGTTCTGAGTACCAGGAAAACTTTCTAAGCTTTTCCGAAAGCTTATCAGAAACCTCCGAGTACCAGACAGATCAGGTGTAGCCTGTCCTCTGGCAGGTGGGGAGGGGGGCAGGTGTGGTCTCATGGGTGAAACATGACCTCATTTACACTTTTTTTATGAGTTTGTTTTCATGTGCAATCATGATGGTATTGCCAAAGGGTTCTGAGGGTGATTGTCTCACTAAGAGCCAAACAAACAGAGGTGTCTGCTGGAAGAGGAGTGGATCCATCTCAGCAGCAGCGTGAGAGAGCACAAGGTGCTTAGTTTGTGCCACCAGAGTGGCTCTGTCACACTCATGTTGCTCAAAACATTCAGCAGCCTTGCAATGCCCCTCTGAGGCCGGTCCTGCTCAGCCTGCCAGAAGAGGAGGTGGAGGAAGCAGACTTCTCGTAACAGCAGGAGTCTTCAGGAGTCACCTGTTCCCGAGTCACCAGACTGTGTTTTCCATGTGTTTCTCGGCTTGTTTTCTTTGCTGCCAACTGGGGAATTTGGTAGGGGGAGCAAGAGCAGCTGTTTCTTCAGAACCTGGAGTCAGACACAGAAGACCCCAGTGGACTGGCTTTTATGGCAAGCAGGCAGGCCTTTCTTCCAGCCTGGAAAGCAGCTGATGGTAAATCTGGATTTGGAAGGAACTGTGCTGTGATCAGGAAGTGAGACTTAGCTGATGCTGCCTTGTAGCCAGGCAGATTATCCCCAGGCCAGAGGGGGTGACACAGTGGGATGCTGTGCTTGGCTTCCTGGTGGGCACTGGTAGGAGTGAGATGCTGAATTAAGATGAGAACGTCTGTGTCCTCTGAAGACGACCCAGAAAAGGCTGCTTTTTCCATGTGTAGTGCTTCCACCACACATTGTGTATAGTACTTCAAAAGCTTTTTAATTTTTTTTTTATGTTCACTGAAGGGGGAAACATTGTGTTAGAGACACCAGGCTTGTCTGCCATGAGAACAGTATCAGTGTTTCTGGACACAGGGTTTGGTTTTGCTCCTTGTACAAGCCAAACATCAGACATGCTGGTGTGGGCTCTGGGCCCCTCTGTGTGGCCAGGCCTGATGTCCTGAGTGGAGCCTGCCACAGGTTTAAATGGGCTTCCAAGGTGCCAAGAGGGAGTTCTGGCATGGAGGCTGGCTGACCTGCCTGAGGGCTGGAGGTGCGAGAAGGGAACAGCCAAACCAGAAGGGCTGCTCCCTCCCTAAAGGGAACAGGTTGTCAAACAAGGTCTGTTTTCGGAGAACAAGAAGCTCAAAGCCCAATTTTAGGAAGGCTGCTGTATTGCCTGGGTAGGGGAGTGATGGGAGTTGCTTCTCATGAACATGGCTCCTATTTTCCTCCATAAATCAAACTCAGATTAATTTTACATCTTGTCTGAGCTGCAGGAGAACAAGCAGAAATTAAAATGGTAGGAAAAGGCACTTGTAGGGGAATTTGTAGTGCTCTGTTTGTAGTAGCATTTCTGACAGTGAGGGAAAAGGCAGAAGGGCATTCAGTCTTGTGCAAAGGTCACAGGCCTCTTCTGAGAGGAGAAACAGTTGAGACAAACTGTGTTAGGTAGAAAGCTTTCAGCCAGCCCTTTATTTCCTGTGCACCAAAACTTCTTCTCAGGCAGCTGTTACAAATCCAGAGCATTTTTGCCCAACAAGAGAGTTGCTGTGGATTGCTGAAGGCTTCCTCCTTGTAGCAGTGTCATGAGTGGAAAGCTTTCCCAGAAGGATGAGCTGAGAGTGGCCAAGGACACAGCAGTGTGAGGTGCCAGCTCCCTAGAGGCTCATCCTGGGAGCTCCTCCTGGGGAGGGACAGGACAGGACCAACTGGAGAACATGCAGGTGGAGATCCTCTTGCACTGACACACACTCAATCCATATGGAGCACAAAATAGCTATTTGTTGTAAGGGCATTTTACTGTAAATAGTCCACTGTGTCTTTTTTCACCTAATTGATTAATTAATACTTTCAGTTTATTATTTTAGCTTTTGTAATTTTATCAAAGGAAAAAAAAAAGATTATGTGTTTTTTTTTTCCTTTTGCTCCCTTTCCTATATGCAATCCAAACTGAACTTCAGGTTTTTAGTGATAATTCTGTACATTTCTCAGAGTATTTCTAACAGCACATTTCAGTACAACTAAATGACAACTGAGGTACACTAAAACATGACCACTAAATAAAGTGCTTTTATGGAGAAAGTGAGCTTTATTTTTGTCCCTACCCCAAGCATAGCTTTCTGATGGTGAAGGCAAAACAAAAGGTATTTATTTACAGTGTAATGATTAACATTGTCACTTAAGGAAGCCAGGGACCATTCAGCCATGCAGATACACTTACTGTAACAGCAGTAATTAACAGGCTCTTTCTAGGAGCAGGATCACACCCATTGCACAGCCCAGAAAGGGATCTGGACTAGCTGCCCCACAGCCTGACCTACTACTATTAAGTTTTTAGAAGGGCCATGCTGGCACAATATGGTTTCCTCCCCAAGTGCTTGTCTCTTCATTGTTCTTTACCCATCAGCCTCCCTCAACAGGGACAGCTGTGGGTGTAGATCAGAGCTCAGGAAGGCAGCATGCACATATTATATGGCTGTGAGGGCAAGACACCTGTGCATGAAGTGCCAGCAGCAAGGAATGGGGAAACAGGATTTCAGACAGGAGTTTCAGACTGCCTCTGACTCCGCTACTACCATGTATAACCTACCTGTGGCTCTCACTCCTGCACTAAGCCACAACTGAAATCCTAAAATGGTCAGGGAGGCAGTACAGCTTCTTTGGCAGGACAAGGCTGCTGCCTTAAAGAAAGGACTGGGGAAGGTGAAAGCAGAACCCAGTGTTCACAGGTTTAGAAATAAAATAATAAAATTTGCCTTTTAGGTGCTGGGATCACTGGTGCTAAGACAGGAAGGCTAAATGCTGTGATGGAGTGGATATAATGAAAGCAAAGTTGTGTTTTTATTTACTACGTTAGGAAAAGCTCCATGATCATCTGATCTACATTGCTACAATTTAGGTAAGGTGAAAAGGTCAGGGGTTTGATTCTCATCAAATGCAGCAGGATGTCTGCCCTCAGGAGCAGTTTGTCAAGATTTGCTCACAACTGACCAGTGCTATGAACGTGTGACTGGATTATGTTGGCTGGAGGAAGAGCTCTGTGGGTCACTGCTGAGATACTTCAGAAATGCTGTCAGGCTGAGTTTGCAATCCAGACAGTTGTATCCCACAGCCCAGCACCATGATACAGCAGTGAAGTGTGTCCAAAGTTTAATTTTTAAAGCTGTATTTATATATACTTGACTTCATTCTGGGTAAGCTGGCTGTGGAGCTCTAAGCAGCTTCCATATTCAACTTGTACTGCTTTGTACCTGGAGCTGCTGCAGACACAGCCAATATACATATTGTTCCTTGTCTAAAGAGCCTGTCTGCAGCAAGGGCTGGCTTTTTCTGTGGCAGCCCAAACCTACTGTATTATAGCCCACAGTTAATATTTTCCTTTGGAAATCCTAACTGAATATTTTTGACTTAGCCAGAAATCTTGTCTGCAGGGAGAAGCTCACATATCCCCCTGTGGTCCCCAGTGCTCCCTCTGGGAAAAGGGAACATAAACCTTGTTTGCAGACTGCTTCTAAAAATTACAGATGCGGTGGGGCATCTCAGCACCAGATTGCAGTGGATGAGTCTGGAGGAAGCATTCCCTTAGCTAACTGCTAGCCAGGAAAGGGGAGGAATAGCAGGGCTCGTGGGTGCTGCTCCCTGCCCCGTTCCCAGCTCCAGCTGGCAGCAGGCCTCTTTCCTACTGCACAAGGGACCCCACACCATACTCTCCATCCATACCTGCCTGCACAAGGCCCAAGACATAACGTGGATTTGGTTTGAGATTCTGATTATGGACAAAATTACCTAATATTTCACAAGGACAATTAGGTGAAGCACAGTCTTTTGTGCGTGCACCGCTTTCCCTAAGTGGAGGAAGGCAAGAAAAGTTCGGTGAAAGATGAGATGAGGCTGTAATAGGATTTCTCATCGTCTGTCAGTCCTGCGTTGCCTGGTCTGATCACCACAGCCACGTGAGTGTCTGCCTCCTCGGCTGCACTGGCTTCTGAAACAAACAGAGTAGGGAGAATGGAGGTGACAGCTGCTTCCTGACCTCTTCACATCAGGGTCCCCAAGGCTTGAGGTGCCCCAAAACACTTGAGTGCTTTTAAAGGCTGAGACAGAAAACAGTGTTTGCATGTCGCAGGGCTCTGGAGAGGAAGCAGCTCCTGGCAGACCTGCTGTGGATGGCTGTAGCTGCAGGAACGGACAGGAGCTGGCTGCCTCACCATCTCCTCCCCTCTGCCAGCGGATGGCTGTCCAAGGCTCCTTGCAGGCAGGACACAGGCAGCTCGATTCCTGTCATGAGGCTGTGGTCAGCCTATGGCATTTGTGAGACAAACAGCCCCCTCCCCCAGTCACTTCTCACAAGCTCCTTTTTGCTCCCTGAGCACAAAAGGCCACTGGAAGATGATCCAGGGAACTACAAGCTCCCACCAGCTCTGCTGCCAAGCCTGGGAAGAAGGTAAGGACTAACTCTGGGGGACTGAGCTGGCTCAGACTGAGACCCAGTGCTATTTCTGCCAGAAAGATGTTTCCAGCTACAGCAGGAAATTAAGTTAGCTTCTCAAGCCTGGCTTTCCATGGGTCAAGTGTTGGCAACCTGAAGCAATGTTTTCCTGCTGCTGAACACAACCTAACCATGAGCAGCGCAAAGAACCAGCCACGTAGCAAGCAACACAGAAAACACCATCATTTCCCCTGAGCACTGGCCAAACCACTGACCCTGTTTGTAAAGGGGCGAGCTTCAGCTCTGCTTCAGCACTCTCCTTCCTGGCTAGTGTAAAGACAGGTTTTCTACTTGATCTATTTTCCCTCATTGCAGTGCTGCACACAGACATCCCACTGCTGTGTGCAAGCCCGGGTGTGTAAAGGAAGATGGCAGCAGCTAGAGGGAAGGTGCTGACGCATTTCTGTGTGCTTGTGAGAAGGCAGCAGCACTCCTCTGAAGAGCACCTGCCTTTCCTGCACAGGTGAGAGGCAGTAAGAGTGGCAGGTCACGTACCTCGAGGGACATCTGTCAGGAAGAGGATGTTGTTGGTGGCACACCCAATACTGGCAGCAATCCTCCTGTAGCTCTCACTTTCTACCTTGGGGCCTATTTTGGTATCAAAGTGGCCATCAAAGAGCTGAAAGAGAGAGAAGCACAGGCCATTGCTGAGTGCCACCTGAAGAAAAGGGATAAACCTCCCTCCCTTCCTTTCTGCCACAGTAACAAGGTGTTGGTGCAGCCATGCTCTCACAGTCAACTGCTTGAGCTGAATTCCCATGGATCAAACCCACTGCCCCACCTCCCTCACACAGAATTCATCCACCAAGTGTTACAGCAATGGCAGATGTGGGAAGGGAGTGCTTTGCAGGGGGAGAAGCTGTAAGGAAGGTGGAAGGTTATCTACCTCTAGGATATCACCTTCTGTAGAGTATCCAAACAGAAGCTTCTGGGCTTCGATGCTGCCTGAAGAGTAGATATAGACCTTCATCCCTGCTTCCCGCCACTTCCGGATGGCTGGAACAACGTCCTCGAAGATTCTGGAGCAAAACAGGGCAGCAGGTAAGGGCAAACCCCGAGGCACCTGGAGGGACATCATTAGCCAGGCACTGTGACAATTCGTTTTGTTCCATTAGTTTGCAAGGGAAACTTCATTTTCAATCTGCTCAGGGCTCAGAACCAGAAGGTCTCTTCCAGCAGCAGGTAATGCAGAGCTGGGCAAGGAGATTTTAGAGATCTCACTCCTTGAATGCAGCTAAGCAGGCAGCTTTCTCCACAGTTTTTGAGTCACTGTAAGACAATTTAGCCTTGTTTTTAAAAACAAAATCAACAGGATACGTGTCTCTCTCGACTTAATTTGGGTTTTGTTACTTTCTCTGGTGGATGTTTACATTTTTTTGTGAGCTCATTTTCTTCCTCCTTGCTCCTCATTTGACAAAATGCTTATTTTACTTACTTAAAGACCAGAAATGCACAGTTTAACCACTTATCTCTTAAATAAGAAGATCAGGCTTAATTTCAGTTGTCCCTACTTATGCACCCCTGTGTCGTGGCTGAAACATAAAGAGGAATCTGAAGACAAAAAGAAGCAGAAAGGCAGGAAACACACAGGTAAAAGACAAAGCAGGAGAAAACAATTGAAAGGGTCTGACCCTGCAACCCTGGCTTGTTTATACTTGTTCAAAAATATGAGTGCAATTTGGGGATAAAAAATGCAAGACGGAGAAGTGTAAGAAGCTCATACTCGTGCCTTAGACAATTGGTTTACCAAGAAATCTCTCAAATATTGGCTTATCTGCTGAGCTAGTGATGCTACTTTTATTTTTAAGTGGGGCCGTTCCCAGGAATAGCTCATGCAGCTCTTCTGTTAATACACTTTTAGGAAAGATGCCCCCCCACACCTGCCCCCACGAGGGGGCACACAACTACTCACACAATTACTCACTCTCCTTTGACGTGCCCAGTGGCATAGGCTGCCCTCCACATGTGGCCCTGCAGCTGCTTCAGTGCCATGGTCTTCCTGTCCAGGGACATCTGCCAGTGCACGTTGTCCACAACGGCCTGGATGACGCGCTCCAGCTCCTCTTCCCCGCTGCTGCTCTCCAAAGGGATTGGCACGGCCCCGTCCAGGCTGGAGTCCTCCTGAGCCTGCAAAGTGGCAAAGAGCACGGTGTTAACCATGCCAGGCTTGTGGGTTTGATCCCTGTACAGGCCGTTCACTAAAGAGTTGGGCTTGCTGACCCTTGCAGGTGCCCTCCAACTCAGAATACTCTGTGATTCTGTGCAATCATCCATGATAAAAAGAGGAGAGGGAAGAGGTGGAGCAATTTCCACACCTCCACACACCCCCGTGCAGGATACTGCTTGAACTGCTCTTCACACGAGGGGTTACATCACTGTCTGAATGCTTTTCTCAATAGAAAATTGAGACAAGTTTAGAAATACTTGCTGGGATTGTACTTTCCAAACCAAACAATTAGCATTACTCTAACTGTATTGTAAATACTCTAATGAGAACTATGCTTGATTAAGTATTTAATTACTGTAATTAAGGCAAAGAAGCAAATGCATGTGTTGGCTTCAGCCACAAGTTTCAAATTGATGCTGTCTCCCTATACAGAGGCAGCATCCACAGCTCTGTGTGGAACAAGTGCTCTGCCATCTCCCTGTGCTGCTTCCCAAAAGAGGTTTGTATTCAACAAGAGAAGGGCACAGTGCAGGCAAAAAGCTGGAAAGTCTTGGCTCAACAGCTGCCCAGGGGCTGTGAAGACCAAGGTGAGCTGAGGGAAGCTGCTGCCTGCCAAGCCCAACCCCAGGCTTTGGATGGGGGAGAATCCAACCTTCAAGGCAACTGGGCTCCATGGATGAGGGCAAAGAGATAGGGACAATTGTGGGGTGGCCGGGAGAGTCCAAGTGACCTGAAGCCTCAGGCATGCTATGAAAATGCAAAGAAAGGGAATTACTCTGTTACTTAACCTGTTTCCTCAGAAGTCCGACATCCCGCTGGCACTCCTCCTCCTCCCAGTGAGCACGCAGATACTCCTTCACGTTGTCTTTGATGTAAGAGAACAAGGTCTCCTGGTAGAAAAAGAGGCTGCTCCTTTAACCTGGCAGAGGTAAGGCTGGCTGGCTTTTAAAGGAAACATTTGCCACATGCTGCTGTGAACAGTTATTTCCCCAAACTTAAGCTTCCCCTACAGTGCTGTAGCTGGTGAAGCTTCCTGACAAGGGTGTCTGCCTGGGCACAGGACTGAGCCAGTCTTGGGCCAGGATCAGTGCAGGTGGATTTTTTTACACAAACGTTTATGTAGCTGAAAGTCTTAAAGCCTGTGATGGAAAGGCAGGTGATAACTTTTCCTGGGCTTGCCAAAAAATGTCTCAAGTGGCACCTGTGACCCCACATTCCCAGTACCTGAGGAGTACAAGGCTGGCAATGTATGTACTCTGAACAGATAAGTTATGCTATTGTATTCTTGATGGGGCACTTGTCCAAGAAAAGGTCATTCTGTCTCAACCTCTCACCAAAGCTAGAGAACCGAGAACCTTTTAAAATGAAAAGCCTGGTCTGGTGACACTGAACTCCACAGGACAGCCTTGCAAATGAAATGAAACAGGGTTTGGGAAAAGTGCCACAGGAAAATTACAAACGTTCACAGAGATCCCAAGGGCAACCAGAAATAATTACAAATTGCTCTCATTAGTGATGTTTCATGAGTCAGAAGCCACAAGCAGCACCGTGCATCTCCGGGTACAGGAAAAGCCTCAGGTCAAGGAGAAGGGCAGGGAAGTCCTTCCTCTGGGTAGAGAACTGAGCTTTTCTTAATTGGGAAAAAACTAACCTGAACTCACCTCTCCTCAAAAAATGGCCCATAGTTTCTTGTTCCTTGTTGTATGTCATCTTTAGCTTGTTGCTGAATTAAGAAAGCAGTGGTCCTGAGATTGTAATGTGATGGCAGAACTGCAGGATTTTCTATTGCTCTAATACTGTATTTTCCATGCTGTATATTTTTTAAAGAATGAAAATTGCTTCAAGAATTACCACAAACTTGCCTAGGGAAATCAAAAGCCTTGTAATGCCCCCAGTTACTCTCATGTCCTCTACTTTCAAACTATCTTTTAAATCATGGAGGAAATTAAAGAGAATCTACTGGGATATGCAGCTGACCTGCTGGCTTGGTTTAACCTCCTTTACAACTCAGATGTCAAAAGGACATGATTGTTTTTCAAAAGCAGTGTTTCATACTCTTGTGCTGGCTAAGAAAAACTCCCAAAATGACTCTGAAGGACCAGTGGATTCTATGATTTGGGGGATTTTAAAAGGGTAAAAATCTTGGTCCACTGGCAAGTGCATAGGTCTGTGAACTAAGAGGGGACACCCACGTGACAGCTGGAGTAGTGGACAGCTAAGGGGCCAGATGTTTTATGGATGTCAAGAGTGATCCCAGTCAACGATGTACTAAGTTTAATAGGCCAGGAGTCTGTGTGGAAGAAAGACTCCAAATACTCTCTTTTCTGACAGCTTTCCTTAATCTACTCATCAACTGACTCATCCTATTTCTTACTTTGAAGATTCAGTAATTCTAACATTAGAGAAAGAATTAAATAAAATTGTTTAATATTGAAGAATAAAGTGTCCACTGAACCATCAGTGGACCTTTCAAAGGCAAATAGAGGTTAACTGAAAGACCAAATGAAATAACTTGTTCCAAGCATTATCAGGGTTTCCATCAAACTGAATTTTATTGAGAATCAAAACTCATTTGGCCTCTCTGCAACAGAAAGACTTTGGGTGGAAGCCTAGAGTCTCAGGTGCATGGCATGTTGTTTGCACAACTGCAAAACGGCTTCAAGGTGGACAGAAACAACTTAGTTGCTCTGTTAGATATTTAGTAAGAAACCTGAGCTGTCCAAACTATTTGAATTGAAAGATATTGAGGGGAGGGAGGAAGCTACAATGCCATCTTAGGCCTGGAGTTTCTTCAAGAGCACTGGAAGAACATGGATAGGAAAGATGTAGCTCATGCTGTTCATCTGTTAAACTGTATTAGCAGAAGGCTCTAGAAAGTCAGGCAGGAGCCTTCACCTGCCGTGCGGGTCACAAAGCATCTTTGTGCGCCACTGGCTGCTAAGATCCACCAAGAGCTGTAATGTCTCATGAAGAAATCCAGGTTTAATGAAGGGCAGGAGAAGGGATACATCTGTCCGCTGTTTTAGCAATCCGCTCCCTCCTGCGAACCAAAGCCTCCCGGAGAGGAGGGACCCCTGCTATCACAATTTACAGTTCTCCAAGCGCCTGTGACTCGCAGACTTCCCAGTCCCCCCGGTTCTGCACCTGAACCAGCACTTCCAGCAGTCTTAAGCTTTTTCCTAGGCAAGGGAAGCCACTCGTGCATCGGCTGCCACTCCAGTCCCTGTCGCGAACGCTCGGTGTGTCTGTCCCCTGCGCTGCCCTCCCGCACGCTCCCCCGGCACACCGGGGGCACCTGGCTGTACCAGCCTCCCCAAGGGAAAAGGCAGCGGATCACCCCGAGAATTACCGATTACTGCAAACTGTGCATTACTGAAATTAAGGCCAAGAAGCGTCGTACTTCAAAGAGCTCGCACTTGAGGCTCTCCGCAGAGCCGAGTGCGGTGCTGCAGCTCCAGCCATCACAGGATCAGCGATGCTTGAGGGCTCTTCTCGGGTGAGGCTGCGAGCACCCCAATGCCCTGTATCCATGAAACAATTCCCCGAGCTGCCCAAATCTCCGCGGTAGTGACCTGCCCCCAGCCCACCACAGCGGCGGCCGATCGGCAAAACAAGACGTACTTGCTCGCGAGCATTATTGTAAAAACGCAGAAAATGGGTCACGGCTTTCATTCCCGGCGGCACCTCGGCCTGCCTTGAGGCGAGCTGCCAGGGCCGGGGAGGTCACGGTGGGAAGGGCGATGCTACGGGAGCCCCCCGCGACGCCAGGGCTGGGGGTCACGACGGGAGCGGCGATGCTACCGGAGGTCCCCGCGGTGCCGGCAGCCACCGGCTCTCACCTGGACGAAGGCGATGGGGGTGGTGGTGCCCTCGATGTCCAGCAGGATGGCGCGCACCTCCGCCGGCACCGGCAGCACGCCCATGGCGGCGGCAGCACGTGGGGCGCACTGGGGACGCGCGGCGGCGGCGGGGAGCGCGGCGGCGGGGAGCGCCACGCCGGCTGCGCCCGCCCACGGAGCGCCCGCCCCGCCCCTCCCCGCCGCCGCCCGAACGGGGTTTCTGGGTTACGAGTTACAACCTACCGCCGGCCGGCCCGCTCAGCCCCGGCCCCCGCCCGTCGCGGTGCCCGGTGCGGCGGTGTCCGAGCCCGCCCGGAGCTGCGGCACCGGCCCGGCCCAGCCCGCGCGATGGCGGCCGCAGGGCCGCCGGGGGCGCTGCGGAGCCGGACGGCAGGGCGGCGCTGATTGGCTGCCGGCACGGCTATATAATAGAGGCGCAGGCGGTGCCCGGATCTCTTCCGCCGCCATTTTCTGCCGGGAGCAGATCTCCGCTGTCTCCGCCGCTCGCACGAGCCCCCACCCCCCCCTCCCCTCGCCCCGCCATGGAGGACGCGACAGAGATGAGCGGCGGCCAGGAGGAGTTCGCTGAGGGCTCCAAGATCAACGCGAGCAAGAACCAGCAGGACGACGGGTAGGGCCGGGGACGTGGGGGGGGGGGAGGTGCGGGGGAGTCGCGCATCCATCTCCGCCGCCTGCGCTGCGGCTCGGGGGGGGCGACTCGGTGGCCGGGGGGAGCGCGGCCTTCTAATTCCTGCGCCACGGCCGCGCCCGCCTTTGTGTGCCGGGCGGGTGACCCAGTTTCCGCGGGGCGGGGACGCGCGGGGGGGGGGGGGCCGAGCTGGCCGTGACGTCACCGGCATCCTGCGGGGACGCGGGGGGGCGCGCTCCCCGGCGCTCCCTCACCCGGATCCGGACGCGTTCCCTGCCCTCCAGGAAAATGTTCATCGGGGGCCTCAGCTGGGACACCAGCAAGAAGGACCTGACCGAGTATCTCTCGCGGTTTGGCGAGGTCGTGGATTGCACAATCAAAACAGACCCGGTCACTGGAAGGTCGAGGGGGTTTGGGTTCGTGCTCTTCAAGGATGCTGCCAGCGTGGAGAAGGTGGGTGCTGTTCTTACGGACTGATGGCACGAAGCCAGCTTGTGTAGCTGTAGCGATCTGAGGCTTTGTTCCTTTCTCTGCTTTTTAGGTGTTGGAACTGAAGGAACACAAACTGGATGGCAAGTTAATAGATCCTAAAAGGGCAAAAGCGCTGAAAGGGAAGGAGCCACCCAAAAAAGTGTTTGTTGGTGGGCTGAGTCCAGATACATCTGAAGAACAGATTAAGGAGTACTTTGGTGCTTTTGGCGAGGTATAGTATATTGGCATATAAGAGCACTCTAATTCTCAAGTGTAGTCTTGCCTCTTTCTTAAGAAAGGATTTGTGAGGCAGGAGTTGGCCAAAACTAGAGCTAGTTGAATCTATATGTTAATGATTTCATAAAATTGTAATGGTCTGATTTATAGCTGCCAGAACTAGTCAGCATAACCATTCTGCACTGCCAGATGGTTCTGGTGGCATAAAAAGGTTGCCTACAGATTTCACGCATTGTTTATGTTCATTTTGATTTCAGATTGAAAACATTGAACTTCCCATGGACACAAAGACAAATGAAAGGAGGGGCTTCTGTTTTATCACGTATACAGATGAAGAGCCAGTAAAGAAGTTACTAGAGAGCAGATACCACCAGATTGGTTCAGGCAAGGTGGGAAAACTCTTGTTCTTAGCATGTGAAATCTGTCTTTGCAGGCTTCTGTGAAAGCAGCTCACAAAATGCTCATGGAATTCTTAGTAAGTTAAAGGATTTCTGTCCTTACAGTGTGAAATCAAAGTAGCACAGCCCAAAGAGGTGTACAGGCAGCAACAGCAGCAGCAGAAAGGAGGGAAAAGCAATTCTTCTGGTGGACGTGGAGGTGGAAGGGGGCGTGGACGCGGTGAGTATTTTCAGTGGTTCTGTTAATCTAAGAACTCACCAAACACTCAGTGGTTTGTAGGTATTCCAGGTTGCAGGCTGTTTGCAGATGTCATGTTTAAATCAAATGTGTAAAGTAGCCTGTGAATAAGTGGTGTTTTGGTGGTTATGGTTGCATGTTGAAGCTGAGGAGTCTCCTCTTGCTCTGCTTGCATTGAAGTGGTAAAGGGGCAAGGTGGGTGTAGCGTGCTTCTGTACGCCCTTAGTGGACCGTGTAACCAGCACAGTTACAATTCCACTTAAAGGGATACACTTAATTGGCCCATGGGAGAGAAAGCAGGAGCTGTTTGATAAGGAGTGGGATGGTCACTTGGCTGCACCTTCAAATAGATCAGAAGGATCAGCTGGTACTATACAGGTTAATGCATCTCAATCTATAAAGGTCAAGCAGCCACAACTCACACCACGGAGCAAGGCTTGTCCTTTGGTGTCATGTATATAATCAGGCAACTGATTACTCTCATGTCCAGAAAGTTAGATGAAGGGGCACAGGAGAGAAGTGAAGTAAGTTTTGAAACTTACACTTGCTATGCTTGGTTTCAGGTCAGGGACAAAACTGGAACCAAGGATTTAATAACTACTATGATCAAGGCTATGGGAATTACAATAGCACTTACAGTGATCAGAGCTACAGTGGCTATGGAGGCTACGACTACTCTGGGTACAACTATCCCAACTATGGATATGGGCCGGGATACACGGATTACAGCGGTAAGTGGTTTTGCCCTCGCTCCTCATAACAAGAGCAACTTTGCTCTTAGTCAGCCCACGGCTCTAAAGATGAGATCCCTTGGTGTGCTGCTGTGTGTGAAACCTCCCTCTGAGGCTGGTGTTAACGCTTGTGGGATCTGTTTTTCCCCACATGCTACCTCCAGGCCAGCAAAGCACATATGGGAAGGCGTCCCGGGGCGGCGGCAACCACCAAAACAACTACCAGCCCTACTAAGGCAGTACCTAGTGCCTGACAAACAGGTGTGTACAGGAGCGCAAGCTCCACTCCGACTAAATCTAATCTAATTTAAAGATCAATAGACAAACGAAGAGTAAAAACTTGCCTAGCATGACTTCTCCTTTAATTAAGCTTTTGTTAACTTAAAAAATACTTTTTTTTTTAAACCAGCTTTGCCTACGTGTCTATAGATCTTTAACTTTGTAAAAGTGTGACTTTATCTTCTTTAGTACTTCAGAAAAACATAAGAGTTTTTCTGGTTTGCGTTGTGTACCAGGTGGTCTAGAGGAATAATTAAACTTATTAGAAGTATTAACAGGTAAAGTACTGAAATGGGTACAACTTAAGGAAAACAAGAATGTTGTCTTCTAACTCTGACATTATACCTTGTTTGTACCCGCCAGCGGGAACTTCATTGCAGGCCGTGTGTCACCCTGACCACGTCTATCTCTGGGGTCGCACGTTGCAGGCAGAGCGCAAGGCATACACCAGAAAACGCTGTCCTGTGGTATGGTCTCTTCCAACTTCATGTACCAGCGTAAAGATTAAAGTGGAAAACTTCAGACTTTGGCTTCTTTTTTAAATCTTTTTTGAAGATTAAGTGTCTTTAACTTAAATGGTTTTTTACAGGAGTTAAAGTACATAAATGCCTTTACAGCTTAATCATTTGGTCTTCTGTTTAGTGTTGTATTTCAATTGTGGAACCTCATTTTAAATGTGCATTCTTTAAGATTTTAATGCTTGCTTTTTTCTTTTTATAGCTAATAGTGAAATCTGCAAACCAAAACGAACTTTTAAATCTGGATAAACATTAAAGATCATATGCATATGGACTCTCTGAGCTAAAGTGACCTGACTTGTGTCGGACATAAGTCCTTTAGCTGTATAAACAAATAGAAAGCCTTTTGGCAGTGTCTCCAGTGGAAAACAAAGTGATCCAGAGCCTGCTTACTTGTTTAAATTGGATGGTGGTTGTTTTGGAGCAGCCTCCTAGATGGGCTGAATATTTGGGAAAATAAATTACTGATGGTGAACTAAACAAACCTCTTGTCTCTTGTGTTACCTTAATAAATATGCATATGATCTTTAACAGTGAAGAAAGGAATATATAGAAGACTTAAAGCAGTTCATGAAAATGGACCTTTTAACAATCCTGTAGTAACTATCACAGATCTGACATGCATTTTGTCTTGATTTTTTTTTAGGTAGAGATACTGCAACAAAAAGCCATCTTGCAACGCATCGTGAGTGAATGGAGGGTGGTCTTCGTGAGAGGAAATGACTGTTTTGTAAAAGACTTCTAGTGTATGACACAACTGTGTCCAACTGTACATAGAAGCTGACTAGTTTTCTTTTATGGTTTTTACTTTCTTTTTGCCATTAATGTTATGACACAATGTGGACTTGTGTTTATACAAACTTTATTTGTATAATTTCATGTTAAAAGATTCTCTAATAAATGCTTACTTAAGTGAGTGTGGAGTCTTGCTATCACCTTAAAGTGGTGTAACTGTAGTTTTACTTAGATAGAAGGGCAGGTGCGCCTCTGGAGATCAGGGTTACTGTAAGAACAGGTCTGTTCGCCCCATTCGTCCTCCTGATCTGTCCTGAGAGCACCAGAGTGCTTGGAATTAGCATCACTGTCGAAGATGGCAGAGTCATGTCCTACCCTCTGCGGCAGTGAGACAGTGGTCTGTGGCACAACACTGCCAGTTTTGTACATCTCAATAGGGATATAGAACTATAGCAGCACCTTTTGAATGCTGATAGCACTGCTTGAGGAGTTGGGAGTTTTTCAAGGCTTCCCAAGCACTTAAAACCTCAAGTATTCTGGAACGCAGCTTAATTACATTCCCACAGCACTTCTATTCCAATTCCAAGTAGGATATTACAAGTTCTTGAACTTCAGGATCAGCAACTATTTTCTGTACAACTCGGTACAAATTAGGTGCTGGTCTAGATTCTTCTCCCCTTGATCAGAAAACGGGTTTCTCATCTAGTGCACACTAACAAGCAATAAATAAAAGCCTGAGTGCCTGATTGCTGGAGAAGGAACACTGCATTAACCCAGCACATTCTGGATTAGGAGAGTGGCGGGGATGAGTAAAGAAAGGAGCCATGTGCATTTTGTCTGAGGCAAAAGGATTGCAGCAGTCCACCTGAAGATTTGGTGTTTTTCAGTACAAGTATCAAGTCAAGCATCAAAATAAACCTTGCTTGTTAAAGCTCACTGATGCCATTGACTACAAACTAAAGAATCAGCAAGAAGCCACAGCAGTGTGTGAGATCATGTGCTGCATTTGTGAGTGCAGCTGGATCTAGCACTGTCCTCCACAGCAGCTGAGGCAGACTTGTGCCACAAGAGCATGGCTTCGTTGCTCCAGTGGTTTGTTATATATGTAATACACAAAACCTCCCTAAGAGACAAGTTTTACTTCAATCTGTGATCCTCTGGCTTGGTGCTAGTGAAGTGCAGCTGGAGTACCGTGTGCAGGTCTGGGCTCCTCAGCACTAGAAAGGCAAGGGGCTCCTGCAGAGGGTCCAGTGAAGGGCCACAGAGGTGATGAGGGGGCTAGAGCATCCCTCAAGAGAGACTGTGGGAGCTGCGCCTCTTTAGTCTGGAGAAGGCTGAAGGGGACCTCAGCCATGCACATCAACACGTCAAAGGCAGGTGCCAAGAAAATGGTGCCAGGCACTTTTCAATGCTGCCCAGTGACAGGACAAGGAGCAGTGACCACAAACCCAAACACAAATTCCACTCCACCACGAGGAAGGACTTCTTACGTGGAGGGTGGCAGACCACTGGAACAGCTGCCCAGGGTGGTCGTGGAGTCTCCCTCTCTGGAGCCATTCCAAACCCACCCCGACCTGTTCCTGTGTCACCCGCTCCGGGTGGCCCTGCCTTGGGCGGAGGGGTTGAACTACACGATCTCCAGAGGCGCAGTCCAGCCTTATCGATTCCGCAGCCGTTCCTGCCCTGACTTCGGCCGCTCCCAGGCCGTGCCGGAGCTCCCCCCGCGCTCCCTCACGGCTCCCGGAGGCGGTGTCACGTGTCCCGCCGCCGCGCTCCTTCCGGCCGCCATTTTAGGTTGGGTCGGTGGCGGCGCCATTAAAAACAGGGAGCGAGAGGAGGTGGGATCGGCGCGCTCGGCCGGGGCCGCCAGCGGGGCCGGGGCCTCGGCGGGGAGGCGGTGGCACCGGGGGTGGCCGGTGCGGAGCGGCGCCATGTCGGATCAGCAGTTCACTCTGGACTCGGCGGCGGTAGCGGCGGGCGGCGGGGGCAGCGCGGCGGAGCAGCCTGAGGGGCAGGCGGGGGCAGGGAGCACCGACGGGGGAGGCGGCGGCGGCGGGGCCGAGTCGGAGGGAGCCAAGATCGACGCCAGCAAGAACGAGGAGGACGAGGGGTGAGTGGCGGGGGAGGGTTGTCTGTCGGGCGGGGCCCTGCGCCCCCGGCCCGGCCCCGGTCGCTGCCCTGTTTTGTTTACTTGGCGCCTCGCCGACGTCACGGGCCGAGCGGCGGGGGCGGTGTCTGGGCCCGCGGTGTACAAATGGTGTGATGTGCCTCAAACTGCAGGCCTTTTAAACTTATTTTTCTTTTTAATGATGCCTTTTCTGCGTTAAAGTGCGGTGCTTGCGTGAAGACAGTAACTCGGCGTAGCTGAATGCTCTGGTTGCATTGCCCTGTGCTGCAGGCATTACTGTGTGTCATCTGAGTGCCAGAAGCGCCAGGTACCGGCGCTTCTTCCAAGCCTAAAACACGCCTCTGTTTCTCACGGAACTTGTTGTCGGGAGGATTATTTTAGGTGGTGCCCGAACTTGAGAAACAGGAGTCGAAAAGACAGGAAGCGAAGCCGGGGGAGGTTCAGGTTATGCATCAGGAAAAGGTTTTTCACCTAGAGGGTGGTTGGGCAATAGAACAGAATAGAACAGGCAAGTGGTTACAGCACCAAGTCTGACAGAGTTCAGGAAGCGCTTGAAAAAGTGTTCTCAGGCACATGGAGTGACTCTTGGGGTGTCCTGTGCAGGGCTGCGAGTTGGACTTGATGGTTCTGATAGGTCCCTTCCAACTCAGCATGTTCTGTTACTCTGTTTTATGGCGAGTAGAGACAGATTTTAATCTTCATAGGATCTCTGCCTGGGGCAGTGTCCCTTTTGTATTCCTGGTGAAGTTTGTGTGTAGTAAATCCAGTGACAGGACAGGCTGTTGCGCTCTGCTGTCTCCTGTCGGGCCTGTGAAACTCGAGCTGCAGGTCTGTTTTTGGTCAAGGCAGAAAATAACCTGGATAAAGGAGTGCTAATTACTGTGTCCTGAAGATACCTGCTGCAAAACCTCCCTGAGTGTCTTCCTCCTTCAGCAATAACCTGGGATGTTGCTGAGAGAGATGTTAATAATCTGGGATAATGTAGAGAGAGAGAACAGGAACTCTTTTTTGAGTATTTTGCTTGGATTAGCAGAAACTAAAACGGTTTTGTTACTTTTCAGCTATTCTTAACAGTTTCAAATGCCTTTGGAGTTTGCATGTTTGTTTTACTTATTACCCTTGGATACACACCAATTAAAGGGTTTTCATGTGCAAACTCGGGTTCTTTTGAGGCAAGAGAGCTTAGAAAAAGTTGTCTCTAAGCGGTGCAGTGATATTGGGCAGTGGTTACACATATCACACATTGACTTGTACTCTAGTTCAGTCTTTTTGACCTATCAATTATTCATGCTGTATAGGAAACAAAGTTTCTTGATAACACTTCTGGTAGTAAAGGGAAAAAAGCATATCTCTGATACCTTGTTTAGTTAAGTCTGAGGTTTGAAAGCTTTCCCAGTGCACTTCCAGTAACCTATTTTGGGAAGCTCTGTGTGCTGATGTGGCTTACCAGCCAGGCTGTGGGCTAGGAAATGTATGTGTTTTACAAGCTTTTGGCAGTGCTGTGGCACTGCTCCTGAATTGTTGTGCTTGTGTTTGTGGCATATCCCTGACCTGAGCTGAGTTTCCCTTGGAGCAGTAGTTGATGTAGGGGCAGACGGAAGCAGCTGCGGTTTGCTGCTCTGTGACTGGCTCAAAGGTGCAATTCCTGCGTGGAGAGATGAAAAACCTTCCGAGGCTGTTGGATTCAAGTTTGTGTTCTTGGTCTACCTGTCCTTAGGAATACAAAGTGGTGTCTGTATGTTAATATTGAGACAGGTGGTGTGTGTAGCCGGTGTCAGTTCAGTAGGAGCTGCTAGAGCATCACTACCCCCCCATGGGTCAGAAACACAATGCTGTGTGTCTTCTGTTTGGCTGCTTGAAAAACCCTCCACAGAACAGAAAACAAGCTTAGGACCTTAGTGATGGGTGAACAAAGGGCAGAAAGCTCCTTTGATTTACTCCCTGTGCTGGCCTGAGGTTGCTGGTTTACCAGGGTGGGCCATTTCTTCCATGAAGATAGCTAATAGAAAGGGCTGTTGGTACTTCCTTAAGAGAGATCTGGAAGTAATTGGAAAAGTGGATAAAGGTATTGGGGAAGTTGGTGCTTCTTCTTTACAGATTTGGAGACTTGTTATAACAACATCTGAAGCTCCTGAACCACTCATCTGTATGGATTTTTGTCAGAAACGGAATGCTCTTGTTAATTCTGAGAGAGCACAGCTAAGTCAACAGAGGTAGTTCACAGGAGCAGCTTTTGCTTCAAGGGAGTTTGAGTTGTGGAGGTACAATGCCCTTTACATGATTGGCAGGAATATTTGTGCGTGGGAAGTGGAAGGGTTGGAAACATGATACAGTGGTTTTTCAGGTTTTCTGATAACTGTGTCTGATTGTGAAATACGGGCAAAGCTTTGTAGAAAGTGCTTTTGTAGATCATAATGGACCATATTTTTTGGTTAGAGCTCTTGGTAAAATCTTCTTTCTCAGTATTAGAAGAGATCATCTCAAATCAAATCCTCTTTTGAATGGGTTCCTAAGCCCTGTGACTAATAACCTGGAATGTTTCATTTGTGTGTGTAATGGCTTGATTTTTAAAAATTTTTTTTTAATATTTTTTTATGCCTTACTAACATGGTGTGATGGTCATGATTTGATTCTAAGCTTCCAGTGTGCTTTTGAACATACAGGTTATGAATTATGTGCTGTACACATCTGCCCAGCAGCATTGGTGCTGTAGAAATATTGGAAAGACATTCTCTCTATTAAAATGGATTAAGCCAGATGTTTATATAAAGTTTTTGAGAAAAGATAACTTCTGACCATCCAATACTTTGCTTTTTCATAACTACTTTTTTGGGGAAGGGAACTTGACTAAACTTTATTTCTTTTAGTTTATTAATTTGGGCATATATCCAGTCCAGACTGGTAGATAAATGCTTCTGTTTTAACCATACTTCCTTAAAAATCTAATCTGCCTGCATGTGTTTCATGAGCAGTTGTGTGGAGGCTCCACGGATAACAAGATAGAATTAAATGTGTGATGGGGATGTAAAGGAGTAAAATATATTTTTGTCACTGCTACTAGTGGTTTCTTGCGACAGCAGAGTAAGCAGCTGCAGCAGGAGACAATGAAAAATGTTTGTGTATGTGGAAGTCTTTATCTGTCCTGGCCAGACTCACTTAAGCAAGTTGTCCAAAAGTGCAGGCCTGTGTGTGTAGTATCAGACATGACTGATAAAATCCTGCCAGTTCCATGCATTAGGTTATTGAGCTCATAAAGCTGGGCAGTGCAGGATTTTGGGTAACACACATTTACAGATTGACCAACTTGTCTTAATAGGAAAATGTTCATTGGTGGCCTTAGCTGGGACACAACAAAGAAGGATCTGAAGGACTACTTCTCCAAGTTTGGTGAAGTTGTAGACTGCACTCTGAAGTTGGACCCCATCACTGGGAGATCGAGAGGCTTCGGCTTTGTACTCTTCAAAGAGTCAGAGAGTGTGGATAAGGTAGGATTAAAGTAATGAAACATGTTCAAATTCAGGTATCAGAGATAAAGCACTCACTAGGATGACTGTAGGCATTGTTCTTGCATCTTCTGATAAACATGATTCAGGGGTGCAGCATTTTCATGTGCCTGTTGAAAGTGCTTTGTTTTAAGAACCATCTTACTCATGATGCTTTGTGCAGGACCAGCAGTGATTCCTGAGGTATGGATTTGGGCCCTTACAGGTTCTTCAAAAGTCTTCAGACTTGAGCACTTGAAAAATACAGTGTATAAATGTCTGCTGCCTTCTGCTGTGAAAGCAGCATTTGCAAAGATCTTCTAGTCTTTAAATTCCTGAGCTGTACTGTGACCCCCTAGAGTAGCGCCAGTAGCTTTGATACGTTTAAGCTTTATCTAAGCAAAAACTAGTTGTTAACTTTTCTAAAATATTGTGAATACAGCACACAGAAAAGTTTTCACCTTTATGACCTTTGTGATATCTAAAGTACAGATTTTTTACTTCATAAGGTTTGAGGATGAGAAGAGTAATTTTTGAGAGATGTTACGTCCTTACTTCTGCTGCCTAATAAGTGGTTCCAGTTATCAAAACTGTCTGTGTCAGTGGATAGTGATCAAAAATCACAGAACTTTGTGGAGCAAATTATTGGTGTGATCCAAGTATTGAAATTGAGGCAACTTTGGCCTTACTCAAACCATCAGTGAAACATTTAGCTTGAACTGTGTAAAACTGTGTTTTAATTATCCTCAGGTCATGGACCAGAAAGAACACAAGCTAAATGGAAAGGTCATTGATCCAAAAAGAGCTAAAGCCATGAAAACAAAAGAACCCGTTAAAAAGATTTTTGTTGGGGGCTTATCTCCAGACACACCTGAGGAGAAAATACGGGAATATTTTGGAGGCTTTGGTGAGGTATGTAGTGAAACCAACTGCTTTTACTTGTAGAACCTGTTCTGCCTTCACAAATTTATTAATAAAAAGCATTCCCCATATGCAGCCTGCACGGATGCTAATGTAAGCTTTAATGGCCACTGTAGTTCCGTATGTGTTAGTGGTCAGAATTTTGATGTTTCAATTACAGGCTCTGAGTTGAACAGCCTGATTTGATGGAAGGGGGAGCTGGGATAAGTCAGGGAGGCAGTGTTTCAAGCAGGGTGCTTTGGTCAGTTCAGTGAGATGTTCTTCAGCCACCTAAGCTCATCTCCTGTAGCACAGATTGAGACAGTTTTGCCTAAATTCTGTGCAACTGTGTAGTTTAGTTTATCTCTCTGTCCCCAGTTTTTGGTGGTGCAGATGAACTAAGTGTCACTGAAGTTTTTAAAAGCTGGTCTTGTATGAACTTGCTACAGCTGTTGCTCCCCTGTTGGTTATCAGATGGTGCCAGCTTCAGGTCATAACTTTGTTCAGGAAATTTGGTTGTAAATATGTGCCCTCTTCCAAACTTTCAGACAGTTCACTCTGTACTAAAGGCTTTAACTACTGTATGCCTAGGAAGTCCTGTGTGCCACAGGTACACAGAACTTTGTATTTGTAGTCAGGTCGCATTGTCATATTCAAGTCTAAATAATTTCAGTAACAGGTATGACCTGTTAGAGGAGTTTTGCAGTGACATGAATGGCAGGATAAAAGATAAAATCACTGTCTTCCACCAGGTCGAATCCATAGAGCTCCCCATGGACAACAAAACTAACAAGAGACGTGGATTTTGCTTCATTACTTTCAAGGAGGAGGAACCAGTGAAGAAAATAATGGAGAAGAAATACCACAATGTTGGGCTTAGTAAAGTAGGTGGATTTCTTCCTAGAGAAACTGAACCATGACAGTAAGGGGAATTGCATTACTGGTTGCATCTCTTAGGGGATAATAGTCTGCCAATACCTGTAAGCTTTATTTTTCACATGTAGGCATTGGGCCCGTGAAGTATTTATGTAGGTGACTGTTACCTTAATTTCTGAGCTTAGAGGGTTTCAGGTGAAGTTTTGTACTGCACCCCCATGGGGAGAGGGCTGGGCCCCAGCACACTTTCCATGGTGCAGCTCCCACGTTCTCCAGCAGCATGGACAGAGTGCTGTGTCACTGATCTGCTCTATCAGGCAGCACCAGGTTTTACTGGTAGCTGGATCTTTGTGTATATGTTTGTTGTTATCAGCAAATGTCAGTTTGTCTTAGAGAGCTTCTGAAGCTAAAATGAAATGGGAAGTTAGGCTTCCCTGTTAGAAGCTGCATACTTTTCAGAAACCTGGCTGAATTTCAACCTGGTAGCATATACTCAAATTGTAGCTGGACTGGTACTTGCACAAACATGTGGTGGAAGCTTCAGAACAGAGTTGAGTTGAGTTTAGCATGTTGGTCAAACTCAGGTTTGATTTCACTTTTCCCAAATGAATAGGCCTCAGAGGTTTAGTTCAAAGGGAAAACAGAAAGGCATACAAAGAAATATTCTTTTCAGAATGGGTTCTACTGTGTCTCACAACTGTTGCCAAATTAGACAGTGTAAGCTATCCTTTTATTTTTCAGGGAGGGCACCAGGGTGGCCAAAGTGAATTTTTTTCTTGGTGTTCTGTAGGTTTAAGAGTGATGTTTGAGGGTTATCTTTGCTGATTGGATCTCACTCCAACTTTCTGTTTCCAGTGTGAAATAAAAGTAGCCATGTCAAAGGAACAGTACCAGCAGCAGCAGCAGTGGGGGAGTCGGGGAGGATTTGTTGGAAGAGCTCGAGGGAGAAGTGGAGGTAAGCTTGTACTGCTGCTATGTTGGAAGGTGGGGGACTGGCCTGAATGAAATTAAGTCTGAGCTTTGTGTTGCAGGCCCCAGTCAAAGCTGGAACCAGGGATACAGCAACTACTGGAATCAGGGGTATGGGAACTATGGTTACAACAGCCAAGGCTATGGCGGTTATGGAGGATATGACTACACTGGTTACAACAACTACTATGGATATGGCGACTATAGCAGTAAGTACTGAACTACTTACAAAAAGTTCCCATCTGCTGCTTGTAAGAAAATGGCTGCTA